TACACTTTTTGGGCATCTATGGAAACTTATTAGAGAGAGCTATATAATAACCAATATGGATTCCAATGTCAAGTTCGATCTTGGTCTCAGCTCTGGTTTGTTTTCAGAAGTAGTTTTATCCATGAGACATATATAGTTTGCTCTATTTTAAAGATCAGGAATATGTCCATAAATCTAGACACTTTCAAGGTATCTATGTCGATTCCGGTTCTGGACATGTACATTTTCCATCATGAAAGTTTCAAAATCACTTGAAATCTTCTTTTCTTCACTAGTCACGTGTACTTATTTAACCAAAAAGACCAGGATTATACCAGATTTAACAATCTGAATAAAATTGGGATTTCCGGTTTAGTCCAACCGGAGAGTTGGTTGTTTCTTGGTTCTTTCTTTGTGAAGATTGCCTACGTACGATTCGTCTCCAATACTTCTTACGAAATTAAAAATGTTTGAAATTGACATCGAAGATAATGTTTTTATTAAACGTAAATATATCCGAAAGCTAAGATGGTGTTATTCAATGATGGATTTTAATAGAATTGAATTCCAACACTAATTCAGTGTTATTCAACTAATGATTCTAAATCTAATTTTAAAATCTGGTGTTATTTGATTTTATATTTGTAAATCATGTTTAATAGATTTTAATGTTCGGTGTTATTCAACTAAGATTTAAAATATTTCATTTAAATCTAGTGTTATTCAAAACTAAAAGACTTGTAAAATCTTTGTATATTAAATCATTTGAAATGAAACATCTTTAGAGTTTCATGAGTAAATTATTAGAATCAAAATCCAAGATCACTGCAGAGATTTTGAAATCAACACAAACAGATTCTTAAAAACAATATCAGAAAGCAATCCTTAAAGAATTGACTTTAACTCTATGATTGAATAACACCCCCTAAATGTCGACGTGGAGTCTTTTTAGCTTCATAAAAGATAGTTATTTAAAATTTTATGAGAGTAAATAAATATTTTTTATGAAACTAAAAATGTCTCATATCGACGTGGAATCTTCTTAGCTTCATATACAAGAGATATTTATTTAAAATTTTGTGGTAGTAAATTAATACTTTTTACAAAACTAAAAATGTCCCACATCGAAATTACGAAGAATCAACTAGTGAAGCCATCTCTATAAATACTATTACAAACTGTGTTGTGGACATTCATATAAAATTCGATGAATCTAAAGTCGAATCCTTTGAAACCTAGTAAAATTTTGTAAACAAATCAGCTAGTTGGCCGATTGTTGATTCTAAGTGCTTAATTGCTTTAGGTGGCCGATAAACCAGTCCAGCAATTAATGCATGATTTAAGTGTCTAATGGTTTAAGGAGGTCGCAGTAGATAAATTCTGACCGCCTAATCGGGTAGGCGGTCGGAATTTAAATTCCAGGTGTGTTTTTCTTTTTCTTCTTTTTATATTGTCATTGTTTGATTCTTAGTCATCCATGGGCTTTTAGTTCTTCTTATGCTTCTTCTTTTGTTTTGCTTGATTCTTTGTCATCCATGAGATTTTAGTTATTCTTCTTCTTCTTTTTATATTGTTTTTTTTTCTTTTTTTTGGTTTTAATCTTTTTAATAGTTGCTTGACCATCCATGTGCTTTTAGGTCTTCTCTTTCACTATACTACTTGATTGAAATTTGGATTAGGGCTGGTCGTAATCTATATGTGTCCGTATCTCTTTGAACTTAGATGGTTAGTTCTGAAACTTCCAATTTTAAAATGTAGATTATAGTGGTGTGAAGAAAGAGAAATGGTGGGTAGAAAGAAGAAAACCAAAATATGTGACAACGTCTCAACGTTGGAAGATAGGATAAGCCAGTTACCTGAACATTTGATTTCTGAAATACTTTTTCATCTCTCAACCAAGGACGCTGTAAGAACAAGTGTTTTGTCCACCAAATGGAGATATATTTGGCAACGGGTTCCTGGACTGGACTTAAACCCCTATGCATTCTCAAATTTCTATAAATTTGTGAGTTTTGTTGATAGGTTTATTTATTCAGACAATGAGTCATGGATACGCAAACTCCAGTTATCCATTGGTAATCATCATGGTATGTGTGATATCTCGTCATGGATTGATGTTGTGGCTAGGCGTAGGATTCAGCATATCGATGTTAGTTTTGATATCTCTTATCGCCTTGATAAGATACCACCCTTGAGGTTATATACCTGTGAGACACTAGTACACTTACGACTCTATGGAGCCACCTTAGTAGATGCCGAGTTTGTTGCCCTACCTTGTCTAAAGATCCTCCATTTAGATCTTGTTAGATATCCCAATGAGTCCACTTTGGAGAAACTTATCTCAGGCTCCCCAGTTCTAGAAGATTTAACCATCTATAGATATCTAGCATATAATGCCAAGGTTTTACGTGTGCGCTCTCAGACGGTAAAGAGAATCCACATTGATCACTTTGAAGTTGTAATTGATGCTCCTTTACTTCAGTACTTGAGGACTAAGATTTACGAAACAAAGAAGTTTGAGATCATCAATTTGGGTTTCTTTACCAAACTAGATATTCATGTTATCTGTATAAGCCATAGGACATACAATAGTAGCATGATTCATGACATCATCACCGATATATCCAGGGTCAGGGAGCTAGTAATTAATAATGGTATTTGGAAGGTATTAAATCTCAACGTTTGAGTAATATAGAAGAATATTTTTTCCAAGAAAGTTTCTCACCATAACATTTTTACATGTTTACTTATGTTGCCAGGATATCTTTCTATACTTGAAATCGGGACCGGTGCAACAGTTTCAAAACCTATCCAGCTTGAATGCTAAATTTACTAAATCTGATCTTGAATTTCTGCCACTCATTCTTGAGAGCTGCCCAAAACTAGAATCTCTCACATTGGTAATGAAATATTGCTCTAAAACATCTACTTATGCGTCTGTGAAAACTTTTTGTATGTATCTCTTTACTCAACTTCGTTTCCTTTGTTTTTGAAGGAATTGGTCGAGAAACAATCCATGAGTCGTGAGAAGAAGATAGATCCAAAGGTGGTGTTTTCAACAGTGCCTCAGTGTTTGGTATCATCGCTAAAGTTTGTGGAACTGAAACGTTCGATCTCCGGGTATAAAGGAGAAAGAGAGCTAATAAGATACTTGCTGAAGAATTCAACAATCCTGAAGAAACTAAGGCTTGATCTTTACTATTCCCAAAGGGCAATGAATGTCTTCCTTAAAGAACTCGTTGCGATGCCAAAATGCTCTACCGGTTGTGAAGTCCTTGTTCTTTAATTACTCAAAAGATGTTGCTGAGTATTTTTAGTTGAATGTTAACCTTTTTTTGTTGTTAATTTTTTTTTTGTTGGAGGATATTTGACTTTTGGAGCCATGGAATTGTTTGAGACTTTTTTAGACATGTCAATTTAACCCAGATTTAGTGGCCATGTTCACTAAGAGTTTGAAAAACCCTAGCCTAACTTCTTAGTCTCTATGTGGTTTATAAATTGTTTGGTTGGCTCGTCAAAATATCTAAGGAACGTTGTTTATAAACAAGTTAAGCAATGCTTTACTTATTTGGAAGCTGTTCCCATAATCCCATGGCTAAGTGTTCTACTGCTTTCGATTGGTTCACAACTTCACATTCCTTCTATCTTGTTGTCCATTTATTTTCTGAATTTCCATGATCTTAAATGTTAGAGATATCTTAGCCATTGATAATACGAAACATCATAATGTAAAACTCTAATAACATAGAAAAGGTTTATCTACTATAAAAATGACTAGTATCGTCAAACTCAAAATACTACTCATTTTGAAGAAGAAAAAAAAGTGTTTATTATTTTTATTTTGTTCTGTAACACATACTAAATTTTTAAAAATATGAAACTACACAAACACTAAAAATTAATATTTTTTATGATTACCAATCAAAAATCCAAGATAATAAAATCTAGCTCCTTAAATAATTATTTATTTTAGCAAAACGGATTTGACACATCCTATATTGTATCGATGCCATAGTTAAGCGTAAGATACAACGTCTCTATGTTTCTTGTACTCGAGGGACAAATTTTCATGAGATGCCCCTAAGACTTTTTTTTTTTTTTTTTTTATTCCGTGTATCTTATCATTGCTTTTTAATCCTCTTTTTTCCTCAGGCATTGGATAATGACTCTGAGAATATGTGTTCTGAAGAGATGAATAAAATAAGCTTTTCATCTGTTCCCGAGTGTTTGCTATCGTCGCTCGAGTTTATAAATTACGATATCCTATTCTCAGGATATGTTGCAGAAATGAAGCTAGTAAAGTACTTCCTAGAGAATTCAGCAATCCTCAAGAAATTTACTCTACGTTTTTATTATTGTCCAAGAAAAGATGACATCTTGAAGGAACTCCTCAAAATCCCACGCTCTAGCACATGTCAAGTCGTCGTACTGTGATTGGTAAAAAGATTGTCTTTTATTAATCAGTTTGATGTAGGAAGTTCTTGCTACCCAGGAAATGCATGTGTAGGTTTTTCGTATGTTTGGTTCTTTAGAGTAAAAACTATTTTAAGGTACTTTTGTAAAGAAACCATGTTGTTGTTTATGTAATCAAGTTTATTACTCTTTGCTTATGTTCTTAGTTCTCTTGAGGAGGTTTTTACTCTTTTCTTATCTTCCTTAAACCTGTGTAACCATAAGTACTAAGTAGTATAAATAAGATATTGATCGAGTATGCAAGTATTCTTAAACCAACATTCTATAGCAAAACCGTTGCTTCATTTTTTCATCCACTATCTTTTGTTTGGTTCCAGGTCCTCTTCCGATACTCAAAGTAGAACCGCTGCCGATATTTAGTTGCATATCACGTCTGAGTGTGACTCTCTGTGTATCCGAGTGTCGATAGATTTGTGCCTTGGTTATTCATATTTCCTTCTTTATAGAGATTTTGTTTTTGCTGACTTGGTTAGATTGGTTTATGATAGGCGTTGAGTTTTGCTGGTTCTTTTCTGAATTCTTATGGCCAACTCTTAAGCTTGTTAAATTAAACATTGTCGACTTTAATCATGGATACTATTAAGGGCAAAAGTAAATAGGAATGTATATCTTCTTAGCTTTGCGGATCTGCGATTAATACACCAAAAAATGAAAACAAGATAGGAGATTGTTTCGCCTCACTCTAATACGCCTTTTACTTTGACAAGCTTGACTTGTAAAATCAGAGCTTTCTTTGTTGCTTCACCATAAAATCAGAGCTCTGCCTACCTCTGTTGTCATTCTTCTTTAACCCTTGAGACTGAGCCATAGGAGTCATAGCCACATAGATGGAGTTTGGGGATGACGACGCTGCAGCTGCTGCTGCCACTTTGGCTGCTGCTGCTGAAGCTGCTACCATTTTCTGTGCACCGTCTCTAACTTGAATGTAGTCATCCTCTATCGCAAATAACTGCAAGCCAAAACCAGTTTAGCATCTCAAAATTTTGAGATAAACACATCAAGAAGTTTGGGAATTGGGATGAGACAGACCTCAAGATGGCTAGCAACAAAATCGTCCAGCTTCCCGTACTTTTTCCTGTAATCATGCCAGTGCAGAGGGGCTAGCATTTTGCCCAAACGGTTTGGAAGCTGTATAGCACATATGAAACAGACATTATACAAAAGCGCATTTTCAAATTCAATTGATCCCTCATTGTGGTTATGATTAGTTTGCTCACCGTTGAACTGATTCTGATTCTTCCACCAGCTGGTATAGTACGGAGGATGCATGTCAAAAGCGACCTTTCATCGAGCAGAGCACTCTCTGAGTTCCTCTCAGGTTTCCCAGATGAGACTAGAGTTTCAGGGACAATGGATTTAGCACCATTGTGTTCATCAGGTGAAACCTGACCATTAGCTTCCTGGGGAGAGAGATTGAAAACACAAACATTCAGAACATTTTCCCTATATCCAACCTAACTAGGCTCTACAAGCCAAGAAAAATTGCTAGGTAATACGTGCATTGCATACCTCAGGTTTCTGATTATGGGTATGGGAATCAAGCCTTAGCACATCACGGAATTGTGAAGAAATGTCTTGAAAGTTATTCTCTGACTGATTAGATCCATTATAATCTCCATTGCCAGATTCCACTGCCTGTTAAGGAGTACTTTCTAAGACGGTATCGTATCGAACATGTATATCCTCAATTATTAATAAGAACTTCCCCTACCTGTTCATTCACAGAGGACGATGGTGTCGTAGCTCCATATTGTGCTACTTGGCTAGTTTGAATGTCTCCATACCCTTGACCAAAGGACTGTACCAAACCATGAGCACCTTGAGATGGATGCACATGATTCTGCATAGGCATCTGTGAACCATCAGGTACAGCCTACAAAAAAAAGAATGAAAGACCATGGTCATTAACTATAAAAATGAAACAAAAGATGCATTTTTAAGCTAACACCTTTTGCTGCAGCAACACTGATTGTGCAAAATGAGGTGAAGGGACTTGAGGCTGAACAAGCTGAGAAATCTCTTGTTGATGCATGACAAACGAATGCAGAGGGGTCATCTGACCCGCTTGGAGGTACCCATGCGTCCCAAGATTAGAAGATGACATCCTATCAACACGGTTGTTCTACAAATAGTTACAAGAGAAAAGGCAGTTACGGTTAGGATATGATCCATTTCAAGTGTTTCAGCATGGATAATTTCATCGTCAAGAATAAAAGCCATCGTACTGAATAGTGAATATGAAGTGGAGCATGACAAATCTAGAATTTTGAACAATCAACATTAGATTGAATACATAAGAGATGAAACAACATACTGGCCTTCTTACAGATACAAAATTACAGAACTTCTATACTGGCCTTCTTAATTTCCAACACAGTACTTTTTGGTGTGCTGGGAATATCCAGTTATTTCACTTTCGCTTTAACAGTTTTAATATCTACTGTTTAACAATTAATTGGCTGATATGCCCAACTGAATAAGCAAATGTACAGATTCATCTCAACACAAGCTAACATTGTATTGTGGATAAGCTATCCAACAGAAAGCGTCAAACAGAGGGAAATCATTTAAGAGAATCTACAGAAACAAACATGTACCTGGGTAGCCTTATCATCAGTTGAAGTAAAAGATGAGATGTTATCTGCACTAATGTTTGCACTTTCTGCGCTGTTTCCATGAGCATCAAATTGGTTCCCGTTGTTCTGAATAGTCTGGGAGGCACCGCTGGAATTTGTTTTGGAACCACCTGCTTCCCTTACATTGGCAAGCTCATGTTGAAGCTGTTGCACTGTATGCACATGCAATCTCTCCATCTCTGCAAACTAAACTCAATGACAAGGAACAACATAAGGTTAGAGTAGAATCGTTTCACGGAAAACCAATTAGGAATTGGAAAATATTCAGGGAACTGACCTGTCTCTGACAACCATGCCAGAGCTGGTTATACTGCTCAGTACGTTCTCGCAATTCAGCCTGCAACGAATGATTTGTAGATGATTGTAAAGCATCCATCTCTTGGGCACGGGCAATCCAACCTTGCGCTTCTCTTAGTTGCTCATCCTTGTACAAGATAGTTTCTTGAGCAATCCTATTCTACAAGCCATTAAGGATAAGGACTCTGGCTTTAGTGAATGAGAATTTCAAAAACGACAATGATATAAAACTGATAGATCCATAAGCATGATTGAATAGATTTGATCGTGTCACAAAAACAATGGAAAACTAACTTGTTCCTGCAATTCACTGAGCTGGCTCTCTTTCTCTTGAATATGCTCCTGAAGTTCAGATATTTTCTGTATATTTTTGGACCTCTCAGCTTCAGAGTGATCACGCTCTCTTCTGCATATTAAGAAAGGGCAAATGTAGTCTGTTATATTTTCTAAAACCACATGCCTAAAACGTCTTATACAAGTAGAAATCAGAACCCAATATAAGATAGAAGAATAACAGATAAATGCAGTATAATAGGTAAACTCGGATAGACTAAACAAAGAGAAAAGAGATAAGGAATTAACAGCACCTGAATGAGGCAAGTTCTTTATTTTGTTCTCTTAGGATACCCTCTTTGGCCCAGGCCTAGTAGCAGAACAAGAAAAACTTAGAAACAAATCATGCAGATTTATATCAGAAAAGAATCTAGTAATAATGTATTATCCAACATACCGCTTCATTATCCAGTTTAATTGCATGTAGCTCTCTGTCTTTCTCTTCTAACTTCCTCTCTGCCTCCCGAATAGATCTCTCCTTCTCATGAAGTTGCTCCTAAAATTTCAACAACATTCCTTTAACTTCAATGGAACACAAAGCTCGATAAAACAAAAAACATGCTAATATATCACGGGAATGAAACCTAACCTGCATTCTAGCAGAAGCATTAGCATACTCTGTGAATTGAGATTCATAGTTGCTCTGGATCTCCATGATCTCATGTCTCGCAATCATCTGAGCTCGAAGCTCAATCTCCAACTGCTGAAGTTCTCCTTTCTTTCTAGAAACATTAAGAATCTGTTGCTGCAACATCTCACTACTTGAAAAACCATCCTGCTCTCTTCCATTCTGCACTACAAGAAACCCCATTAAAATGTCGTTCCCACTCTCCAACAAGTACAAAAACTAAGTGACATTGCAAGAAAGAAGTAAGTAACCTCATAAATCGTTCTCTCATCCGTCCGGTTCAGCTTTAACTGTTCCAAATCCTACAACAAATTTGCCAAAGACAATCAAAATATGAACTAGGAAACAACCAAAAGCAAATCACTTTACTCTCTACATAAACATTGAAAATCTTAAAGCCAAAAGACTCACAGTGAAATCAACAGATAAAACAGTATAAAAAAAGAAAAATCAAAACTTTTAGATTCAGTCTACACATTCCTCTAAACATAAACATAACCCAGAAGCATAAACGTTACCCCATAATCTGTGGTGTCTTGTGAATCCGAAACGGCGCGCCATTCTTTTCTTGACGGAGCCGTCGGCGACGGATTCTGAAGGGAACCGCCACGAGTTGCAGCTACGCTTGAAGCGGTCTCCATTAGTAAAGAAACTCACCGAAGAGACTTCAATTCCACTATCGCACTGAAAAAAAAAACTAGGGTTTATCAGAAATGTGACTCAAGAAAAAACCCTAGAGTAAGTAACCCAGAAAATTTACAGAGATGATGAAGAAAACCCACGATTGACGAAGAGAAGAGCTGAAGAAAGGTTTAAGAAACGAAAATGGTGGAAATGTTTGACGCAGAAGAGACGAACAAAAGTGAGAGCGACGAGAGAAACTTGTGCAATTGCAGAATCAATCATTTGGCAAATTTCTTTCTTACTCGTGAGAGTGAAGATGACGTTTCAGGTCCTATTGGGCCTATTGGGCTGAGCTATCTTTGACCCATTTAATCCGGTTTGGGTTTAGTGTTCTTTGATTTCTGATTTTATCAGAAATTTCGGTTTACTTCATTGAGGATTTATTTGTTTGGTCTGGTGAGATATGTTAAATCAAATCAATTATTCTTTTCAAATACACTATTTATATCAATTTGAAAACGTTAGTTGCCAACTTGAACAATTTTGTGCAAGCATCCATCAAATTCGAATAAAATAGGTAATTTGTGAGATTACATGAACACCAACCACCAAGAAACATAAGAAAGACTTTGACACTACAATTGTATTTTGCTTTCTGGCGCAAAGCCTAAGAAGACCCTCCTAAAAGCAACCAGCTTAACGACCAAAAATAAACTCAAAAAGCAATGTTTAGTTACTAATTAAACAACAAGTAGTTCACAAGAGCTAGAGCATCTTGGCATTGCAAGGAGTTCTTTGAGAATGACATCCGTTGCTTTTATCCTTTTCCTCCAACAAAAACCAGAAAAATTTACACTCAATTTCTCCAGGATTCTTGAATTCTTCAGGAAGTATCTTATGAGCTCCATTTCTCCTTCATACCCCAAGATTGGACTTTTTAATACCACAAACTTGAGCGATGATACCAAACATGGAATCATTATCGTTTGAAACGTCACCTTTGGTTCATTATTCTTTGTACCACGTATGAAAACTCGGTTCTGAGCCAATTGCTGCCAAAACAAAAACAATAACATAAGAAAACAAGTTAAGTAGAGAGATGCATAAAAGCTTTCACAAACTATATGCATAAAATTAGAAGGTTAGAACTATTCGTCACCAAGGTAAGAGATTCTAGTTTTGGGCAGCTCTTAAGAAGATTTGGCAAAAATCCCAGATCGGAGTTACAAATTACAGCGCTCAATCGGGACAAGTAACAAAACTGAATGAATGGTCCAGCTTCCGACTTTAGAAAGATGTCCTGGTAACAAAAAACCAAAAAAAATAGAAAATGCTCGTTAGAAACCCTTTTTGTGGAAAAATAATTTATATGTTTACATGTACCTTCCAAAAAATAGCACTAATAAGTAGCTCCTTGACCCTTGAAATATCAGTGAGAATATCACGAATCACTACTCTTCTTTTGGCTAAATCATTTGGATCAAACACATTATCTGAACAACCAAAGTCAATATCTACTTTGGCAGGGAAACCCGAATTGATGATAGTAACGTTCTTTGTTGAATAAAATTTTGTCTTTAGACATTGAAGAAGAGGAGCATCAATCACAACATGGACAAACTCATTTATGTGGATTCTCTTTAGTGTCTTAGAACACACTTGTAAAACCTTTGCGTTTTCAGAGGAACTTCTGATGATGGTTAAATCTTCAAGAACTGGGGAGCCTAAGATAAGTTTCTCCAAAATGGCCTCATTGGGATAGTGATTGTATTGTAAATCGATGGTCTTCACACAAGGTAAGGAAACAAACTCGGCGTAAATGATGGGGAGTCGAAAGAGTCGTAAGTGTACCAATGTCCCGCATGTATACAAGCTCAGGGGTATGTCACCGAAGCCAGAAACGTTAACAAGACTAATATCAAGATGCTGAATCCTACGCCGAGTCACAACATCTATCCATGAGGTGAGATTACCAGCCTGATTATGAATACGTAAACATAGTTTTTGTATCCTTGAGTCTTTGTGGAAATAAAAAAAACCTGCCAGTAAAACTCACAAACTCATCGAACAACCTAAACTCGCCGGTGTTTAAATCCAACATAGGAACCAATTGCCAAAGATTTCTCCATCTTGTGGATAAAACACTTGTTCTTACAGCATCCTTAGTAGAAAGAAGAGTAAGTATGTGACATATCAAATGTTCAGGTAAGTGGTTTATCCTATCTTCCTCTGATCGTGTCTTTTTCTTTCTACCAACCATTTTTGTTTCTCGACATACAACTAATCTGCATCACCAAGTTTTAAGAAAATTATTTCAAATAAGACAACTTTAATCTGATTTCGAATGGAAAATTTAACACGGACACACTAGCTCTTGTTTTTAACTAACCTGGATGCATAGAAAGTTCGGACACAGATAAATTGGGACAAACCCTAGACGAAGAACACATGCGAAGGGTTGTTAAAGGTTAGGGTTTTTAAGCATTATGAAGATGCCTAAAAATCAATCAATTCTCAAAGAAAGAAGAAGAACTCACCGGAATGGAGATTAAGTAAGCACGGCAGATCAAATTAACCTCTTCGTCTTGTTCCACGGTCATGTAGCGGCTCATGATTTTTATGAATATCGATAACTGAGAGTTTAGGGTTTCGATGGAAATTGGAATGGACACATTTTTTTTTTTATATCACGTTAAGTATAACTTATAAAGTGTGTGATTTGGTTTTGACCCGGACAATGGCTTAAATCAAAACATTTAGAATTGGCAATTTTGACAGCGCAAGAAAGAAACAACCAAGGCCATGGATGTTTTGCAAGTTTTAAATGGTTTTTGGATTATAAAGTTTGGTTTATGGTTTCTAGATTTTGTATTAGGAAAAAATTTAAAAAATTAAAAATGGAAAGAAAAAGTCAAAATTTGAAATCACGACTTTTATTAAACAGGAAGAGAAGATTAAAGATTTTAAAATTTGAAAATATGTTAAAGTTCAATCGGTTTATTAACATAATGTCGCAAATTCCTATACATATTGCTCAATTTAACCTTGCTTAAAACTCAGAGTTGAATAACATTTGAACTGATAGAAAATTGTGAGCTGCCATGGAAATTCAGAAACCAAAGAGTCAAAGAACATCATTACCAAAGAACCAAAGCCAAACCAACCAATAACCTTTGTCATGAACTGCTACGCATATTCACATTGTCTTTACACACACCACAAAAACTATTTTAGAAGTTGTGTATGTATAAAGCTCCAAATAGATAACAAATATCAAATAAAAACATCACATGTTCCCTCAACACGTTACAAATCAGATTATGACAACTTCACACTTGGTAGAGCTTTTTGGGATTTCAAAGACTTCCTTAGAGATTTCATCTTTTGATGAACGATTATCCAAACGTAAAGTGAGTTTCTTGAGGATTGCCGAATTCTCTAGGATGTAACTTAATAGCTTCATTTGTTCAGCATATCCTCGGCGTGAGAGTTGAAATTCAACAAACTCGAGAGACGATAGCAAACACTCAGGAACATATGGAAAACTACTTTGATCTATTTCCTTGGAACGTAGCTCTAGGTAATAATAACAAACATCTACCTGAGGAAAAAAAGTGAGGAGAAAACACAATGAAATGATATGACAAAAACTTCATGGAGATGAGGAAAAAACACAATGAAATGGTATGACAAAAATTTCATAGAAATGAGAAAAATATCACTCGATTTATCAAATATACCAGCAAGATGAGGGATTTCAGATTTGGGCAGCTCTGAAGAAATCTTGCCAACCATTCCAAACTGGACTCATCGAGAGAAACACAAAGACGGGACATGTAACCAAATTGAGGCAGTGGTTCTAATTTGGAATATTGATGAATGAGCTGAAAGCAGACAAAAAAATATATATTATGGATTAGAAAATTTTCATTATAGAAAATGTGCATATCCAATACATACATACCTTGAAAGTTTCTTTAGATATCGTCATATCCATGACCTTAGAGATCCGGGGCAGAAAACTACGGATGCAACTTCTTTTCGACGAAACGCTTTGTTCACAAAAATCCTTCAAACCAAAGTTGAGATCAATATCTAACTTGGCATTGGACCCAAGATTGTTTACTATAAAGATTCTGGATACAGTATCTTTGATTCTCAAAGAGCACAATAGAGGAGCATCAATCACAACTTCCACAACAGAATCAAACCAGAAGGAAGATCGTAGTAAACGGAACCTTCTAAGTGACAGAGAGTGCACTCGATACATTTTTGCATCATCATATAATATGGAAATCTCTAACTCTTCCAAGACAGGGCAGGATGAAACAAGTCTCTCAAAACTGGCCTCATTGGGATATATATTGTAATGTAAATGCATAATCTTCAGACAAGGTAAGGAAACAAATTCGGCACTAGCCAACTTCAGCCGGTGGAGTTTTAAGGATACCAGTGTTTCACAGACATAAAAGCTTGGGGGCATCTTAAGAAAATAAGTCGTTAGATTACTTCTAACATGTAGATGTTGGATCTTACGCTTAATTGATGCATCGATCCATGATGTGAGAGTGAGAGAATATGCATCATATTCATCAATAATCAACGTAAGCTTATCTATGCGTGATACTCTGTTGGAATATAAAATCCTGTCACCAAAACTCGCAAAGGCATCGGGATTTGAGAATTTTCGGGTTTCCAACTCCAAACAAGGAACCGAAAGCCAGAGACTCCTCCATCTAGTGGATAAAATGCTTGTCGTGACAACTTCTTGTGTCGGAAGATGATTAAGTATCTCACATAACAAAGATTCAGGTAATTGGCTTATCCTATCTTCCTTCAATCTCTGACACGACCCGTTGACACGAGCCTGGTTCTCTTCCCCTCTATCAACCATGTGTTAATTCTTCTGCACAACAAAATTGAAAACGAAAATTTTGAGATACGAAGTTAATATGGACACATAGCTTGCAACCTAACCAACAGTTTCGGTTCAAGATCAAGAGAAAATGATTTTATTTGGCCAGATGAAACTCATAAATTAGCATCAAAATGTTCCCCGGAAGAAGAAGAAGACGCATCGTGACACATACCGATCGGAGAAATAACAGTGAGAGAGAGAGACGACAAACCACATTGAGACAAGTTAGGGTTAGGGGTGAGTAAAAAGAAGAAGGACCTACAATGTTGTGGTAGAACGGAATGCAATCACCTTGCCGTAATTGCAGATCGAGATTTCGCCAATCGACCACGAAAATTGGGAATCACCGA